ATCAAACTATACAGTGAAATAACTTGGGCTCCTAATCAGTTGTTCTTATTTAGGAAAAGTCATTGATTTATTTGTTTATTGTAAATAAATATGAAATAAATAGTCTTGAGGCAGCTATTTTTATTTCAAACTAATGAATAATAATTATACATTTTTCTAACTATATTTAATATTTATATTTGTTCACGGAAAATAAAATGTCCAATCAAATACTTTATGCATAAATAAAATAAATAACTGCTAACACATTACAATAAGGTTTCTTATTTGTTAACTTCATTTGTTAACATGAACTGACAATTAACAGTATTTCTACAGCATTTTTTCATCTTTATTAATGTTAATCTCAACGTAACTAATACATTTTTAAACAATAGTTAATGCACTGTTAACATTTTTATTAACTAACAGCATCAAAGGTTAAAAATGCTGTAAAAATGTATATTGCCCTTTGTTAGTTAATGCATTAACCAGTGCGAACAAATGAAACCTTTCATTTTAAAATATAATATAAAAATATAATTGTATTACTTTTAATACCTGCTGTATATTATAGTTGCAGGAACAAAATGTGAATGTTTACACTGCGTGTTCAAAAAAATTAAAATGCACCAGTTGATATTTGTTTAGACAGACCCTGTTTGTTGTGATTTAAGGTCGGATCAAATTTTATTCAGAAGTCTATGATAAATTATAAATGTATCTGAAGGGTACATATACATTTTCCTGCAACTGTACATTCTGACAGCTGCGATTGCTAGAAATATTCCTAGGGGTTATTCAATGGTCTTTTAACTTTAGCAGAGACATGTCTCTATCGTCCATCCTCAAATCTACACCCATGCACCTTTGGCTTAGCAGTGGCATTCTGACACATTTAAAATGTCAGTCTTCCTTGAATTCATTCCTGCACAGACCATCCTAGAACACAGGTTATGTCTAGGGAGGAAAATCATAGTCACTCGGCTCGAATCAGTCCTGCAGACGGCACTTTACAGCCAACTGACAGACAAACACACATGCACAAACACCATCTTCAGCCTAATTGGCCATTCTCCCTGTGACATGTCCTTTGTATCTGGGTCGACAGCTGTTGATCACAGAGAAGGGAGAAATAAGAGCGCAAAACCCCTTTTCTTCAGCACTGTTCCCTTGAAAAGAAAATGCAAACAGAAAGAGCTTAAACACAGATAATCACACACCAGAGTGAAGACTGGCATGGATGTCACAAAGTTTCAGAGCTAAGCTCTATAGTTGTTGAACCCAACCAAGGACTTTACTATATTTGTGAAGCTTTAGCTTTCAGAATTCAAAAACTGTGTGGAAAGGTCACACACCTACACATGTGCTCTAACCATCAGTGTTGGAGAGTATATATATATAAAAGCATCAATGCCACAAACTTAACTACATTTTCACTAGTGTCGGTACTTCAGCTGTAGAAGCGTAACGTTAACATTTTTTATTTTTATAACATTGTAAATGCTGCTTTTTGTTACACAGAATGCCTACAGTAATCAAATACTGTCACTGACCTGTTTCATACAAACTCAGGAATTCAAAAAAATATTCTCAGTACAGTAGTGTTGGGAAGTCAGGTGTATTACATAAATTAATCTGTTCAAAATAATTCACTAAAATGTAGCAAACTAAGCACATGCCTTGTGCTTTATATATATATATTTTTTACATTTTACCTTATTTGTATATCTGTATAGTTGTATTTTGTATTTTGTATTTAATCTGTACCTATCTGTATTTATGTTATCTGTATGCACCAAGGGTCTGAGAGTAACGCAATTTCAATTCTCTGTGTGTATGTGCTGTACATGTGGAAGAATTGACAATAAAGCAGACTTGACTTGACTTGACTTGACTAAAGTGTAGCAAAATACTTAGAGCAGTTAAATTCTGCTGTATTTTTGTGCTAAATAGATTCAGGTGTTTCTAGATTTACTACTGTGTTTACCACTTTACCAATTCATGTTCAATGCAGTCACCCAATCCACATTCTTTTTATGCCAAATAAATACTACTCTGACTGTAAAAAATAAATATCATCTAAAGATATTGTCTATTTAATGCATTAAAAACTGCATCCTTTCATAGTTTCAGTTTAGCTGTTAAATAATAAATAAATAAATTCACTGTTACGTATTTTAAATTATAAGTAAATATTAGCTACATTTCTAAGTATCTTCCTCAACAGCATGTTTCCATCCTGAGTGTGAATTTATTTTATGAAAAAAGTCAACGCAAAGTGACTTTTTGATGCACGTCTAGGAATTTATTTGGTAAATGTGGGATAGTTCATGCATGACATGCAGAAAAAAAGATATTGTGGCTATGAATTAAGAATTGATTCCTGCAACTTCATCTGTGGCCGCATTTTATTAATTTACTTTAATAAATTTTAGTTCAATTGTGGTCCAGATATGATTAATTTACTCCTTCATTTTAGGTGAATTGAGGCCACTGTGTACTAATTTGTTCCTTCATGTTAATTTAGCTAAATCTTTGCCACAAAATCTTGTTTTATTCCTGAATGTCATGTGTAAAGCTTCATATTTGTGCGTGTCTTCTTGCTAAATAATACATCTAACCAATAACAAGTAAGTGCAGGTTTTTTTTGGTGGAGAACTATTGTTTATGTGATGAATATAATACATGGATGCCCAGCTAGTGCTAAACTCAAACTTGAGAAACTCTCTCTTCGTCACACGCGCTGTCCCGTTATTAAGCAATAAAGTACAGAACCAGTTTCCCAAGCATCAGTGTCAACGCCACTTTACACTGAAGGATGCATTACCATATATATGGAGGTCTGGCTGAACATACAAACACCTGTACTGAGTAAACACAGACTTTAATATCGCATCTCTCCCAGATATCCAGAGCACGGATTTACTGACCGTTTCTAGAGCACATATATAGACAGAGACAGGAGAGATGTGGACATTTAGATGTGGAAATATTATCATTCTGTGTGATTGCATATATTAACAGCTTATGGCAGTGTATAGTGAGGTTATTTTTACATGTGCATCACACTGTAGTGCTTTAATGTGAGGTTACATGGCCAAAAGTATAAGAGGTAATAGTTCCTCCAGGACCCTGCTGTTAAAACTTCACAGGAACCCCACCAAGCAGCTCGATTACCCCTTTAGGAATAAATAACATGTTGGTATTCCTCTTATCAAAGGCCTCTCTGATCTCCACAAATACTGCGTGAACCAAACACAGCCACAGTTATAAACACCCACTCACTCACACACACCCACGCCGTACCGGCATAAACCTAAGGTGGAGTATTTTACACACTGTGGAGGAGGGGATGAGTGGAGATAGAGCTTTGATGAATAATGCGAGTACATTGCAGTGCGGTAAGCGTGTGTATAAGTGTCTCGCGCTGATGGGAAACTCAGTGTTAAAGTGGAAAGTTCAACATGTCGTCCCCGTCATGCAAAAGCAGTACAAGCTCCACCATTGCTCACGTTCAATATTTCATAAGCACTTGCCCTCCTGATCTCACTAACGTTCGCTAGAAACTGAAGAGTGTTATTGCTCTTTAAACTCCTACTGCCCCTGCAAAAGGGCCATCAGTGAGAAAGGTTCATCGGTTCCTGAGTAAATGTTTGGGTAAAAATGTTTTAGAGTGATCTTATGCAAGATGAACATCTGAAATGGTTACAGAAGGAAAATGAGGGGAGAATTGAACACTCTTCCACAAATAAACACCTATCCTGTGACGAACCTTCTCTGATTCATTTGTAATATTGCAACTTTTGTGGTTACTGAAATGTTTTTACAAAGTCCCTATTAAGACAATGTGATGGAGAAAATATGAGATTGGTGAAATTACATTATATCTCAATGCTCTCAAAATATTTGCGCTGTATTGCCAAAGTATTGCCTTCCCCCAGAAACTTTCCATCAAGTCAAGTCAAGTTATCTTTATTTATATACCACTTTATACAAGGCAGATTAAGTTGCAACAAATGTTTGGGGAAATAAACTTTGCATTTTCTCACAAAAGCATTAAAATACAGTTATTTTTTTCAACTTCATCACCAGTTTTGCACTTGCCTGCAAAAACGCTAAACTTCTGTGAGCAAAAAGTTTTTTGTGGAAACATTTTTACGATTAAATTCAAAAACATTGAAACATAATCTTCACTCCCATGTAAATTTTCCCATTACCCTTACTGGGCTCTGTTGTTTTTGAAAGCAGTTTTAAAAAATAACAATGCATGTATTCTAAGATCACCAACCAATTTTTTTGGAGTACCACAATTAAAAAAAAGAATAATTATTGATCATTTTAATAATTATTTATTTAGTCAATTAAATAATTAATAATAAAGATACATATTATGTATTTTGTCAGTGTTTTTTTTTATTTTTTAGAAATATGAATAAATGAAAAATGTTACCACATTTTGTTTAGTTAGTAATACATAGTCAATTAAAGGCCAATTATAGGATTGCATTTAAACTGCCTCTAAAAAGACTGAAAAGTCATTAAAAAGTCTGTGTAAACTCCTATAACGATAATTGTTCTAAATGTATTTATTTAAAATCTTACAATTTTCAAATATTTATTCCTTAAAAGTACTAAAATCATAAAGGAATCTGAATCTTTAAATAGAATGTGATGTTAGACAGACAGATGAAGAGCTTGACTATATTTAGGCATGTAAATGTATAACTATATATAACTATACTGAAAGAGGTGTCCTGAAAAATCTTGATAGCTTTTTTGATTTTTATAGCCCTAGGCTCTGTTAACAGCCAATCAGAAAACTAGCCAATCAGTAACACTCTTTCCCTGTGAATCATTTCACTCGTTCTGGTCCGCTGACACTGGGTTTGCTGACATGCCTTTGGAGGTTGAGGTTTTGGAATGAGGGTGTTAGCAAAACGGCTGAAGTTGGCAAAATGGCTGGAATCGCCTACAGCGCTCAAATTCTCACCCCGTTTCTGAGACCAAGTGTCACTCACCTGTGCGCTGACTTTGCTTTTGGCCGCCACGGCTTGTTTGAAAGCCTGTCTGATGATGACGTGCAGTCTGAGCACCACGGCCTCGATGTCCTGATCCCCCTTCATGGCAGCGGCGAGTGACCCCAGTTCCTCCACGTACGCCCTCCAGTGAGGCTGCACCTCTGCTGCTCCCCCCAGACACGCCCCCATGGTGCTGACACACAGTGGGCGGCACGGCCGGGCCTCCAGCAGGCCTTGACAGTGCGGGCAGTACCAGAGCTTCAGCAGCGAGCGGCCGCAGTCCCTGCCCGCACGCAGGTGCTGGGTGGTGTTGACCACTTCGATGCCCAGGTTCAGCGCTTGCAGGAAGACCCGAGTGGCCAGGAGCGAGCGAGACAGCCGGGTCATCATCATCTTGGGAAACGACCCGAACGCAGAGGTTCCCCTCCAGGCCCCACGGAGGCATTCTTCCGAGATGCCCGTCACTGCCCCGTTTCCAAGCAGACGTCGGTAGGCGAAAGGAAAAAGGCGGGAGAAGAAGGTAGAGACCATGTAGTTTACGTTAGCATCCGAGCCCAGAATGTAGAGGGACATTTCTAGGAATAACTGTGTGACGGCTCCGCTGGCTCCGGCCCCCAAACCGGGAAACTCCTCTCGTAACAGCGTCAGAGTGGAATTACGACCCAGGCGGAGGACCATGTCAAAAGCCTCTGAAATATAAGAGAAACAAAGAGATGAATGGAAGAGTCTATAGGGCTGTCCACTAATTCTTATAAAAATGGTACAAAAGCTGTCACTGGGGCTGTACCCTTTCAAAAGATACTAATATGTACCATCTAGGTTCTAATATGTACACTAATATATACCTATAAGGTATTAATATGCAGCTTTTAGAGGTTAAAATGTACCTTTTGAAAGGGTACTGCTCCAGTGGCAACTTTTTTTGCACCATTAAGTTTAGTTGAAAAATAGTCCTAAGTATAAATGAAATGTTTGCAAAAGTCACAGACCAGAAAATAAGAGTTGGACCAAAATGGCAGACACTTGGATTATATCAATGATATTGTGTTTTGTGTGACAGACTTCAATCCTTTAGACATTTACAATGATTTTGACATTTACGCTCATTTACATATTAAGAAAGGGAACTTTATATGACTAAATGATTTCTTAGTGGCTCTCAAGTATGAAATTGGTCTAACCTGTGTCCATAATGCCAATAAAAATAAGTAAATGTCTAAATTTCCAGTTTAAGTGTGTATCTTTTGAACTGCCACCGACTTATCTTAGATGCAGCTCTAGAATATACATTATTTAAATTTCTACATATACTATTTATACTGTAATATAATTTAAATATAATCCTTTTATGATTATCTAGGCATCATACTTCAATGAGAAGTTGAAAGTTACAGTATGTGAATAAAAAATACACTACTGCTCAATACACTACTGCTTTGAACTTTCTATTCATCAAAGAATCCTGAAAAAAAATGTATCATGGTTTCCACAAAAATATTACGTAAACACTGATAATAAGAAGAAAAGTATTTTTTAGAGCATTACATTTAGCATATTTGAATAATTTCTGAAGGATCATGTGACACTGAAGAGACTGCAGTAACAATGCTGAAAATTCAGCTTTGCCATCAAAGGAATAAATAACATTTTAAAATATTAAAACAGACAACAGTTATTTTGAAATGTAATAATATTTCAAAATATTATTGTATTTCCAATCAAATAAATGCAGCCTTAGTGAGCAACTTTAAAAAAAAACTTACTGACCCCAATCTTTTGAAAGGTAGTGTAATTTGAAACATTAGCCCTAACAAGACAAATTAACACTCAAAGCTATTTGTTTACAAATTTGAAGGCAATTTGAAGGCTCAATGACAGTAAACTTCATATTAGGCAACTACACATAACATCGGCTTATGATCTCATAGCTAAGTTCTGCCTTAAGAACTATTGGTGCACTGACTTAAGTATAGACTAAGTTAGATACTAAGCTCTTAGTGTGAACTTTTTAAATGGATAGTGCAATTCTAACCAGAAGCAGCTAATCAAGTTTTTCAATGCTTACTAGGAACATCAAGCAGGTGTGCTGGAGCAGGCTGAAGCTGAACTCTGCAGGAAAGGGGCCCTCCAGGAACACATTTAGACACCCCTGAACTGAGGCACCAAACCTATTCATTGACACTCTTAAAATGTTACTGATGCAAAGAGTTCACTGACAAAAAAATGAAAAGAAAATACGCAATAATCCACAGAATCGTTTCCTCACAGATGCACACACAATCCTAATCCCTGAAAGATGATAAACAGTGAGAAAAAAGGAAGATGGAATTAAAGCTTCCCCTCTAGATGAAAACCATGATGGCCTTTTAAAACAACAAGGGTGCTTTTCAAGAGCCTTATTATAATTGATTTAAAATAACATTATAAATGCCTTTACTGTTACTTTTAATCAATGAAATGCATCCTTGCTAAGTAAAAGTATTCATTTCTTTTAATATGAAAGTTTTACTGACCTAATTGTTTCAAAAAAGTAAGTGAAAGTATAGTACAAATAAACATTTCAAACAGTAGTATGATACATAGCTATTATATGTGAGTGGAATCCAGTCATATTAATCTCAGTAACAAATGTTTATTTCGCATTTTAAGAATTGATTTAAAATAACATTATAAATGCCTTTACTGTTACTTTTAATCAATGAAATGCATCCTTGCTAAATAAAAGTATTCATTTCTTTTAATATGAAAGTTTTACTGACCTAATTGTTTCAAAAAAGTAAGTGAAAGTATAGTACAAATAAACATTTCAAACAGTAATATGATACATAGCTATTATATGTGAGTGGAATCCAGTCATATTAATCTCAGTAACAAATGTTTATTTCGCAAATTTTCTGTGCTTGTTCATTTTCAATTAATATAATTTACAGTAAAATACCTTTTTTTTATGTAATTGCATGCTATATTCTTTATATAGGCTACACATCTAAGGCTAAATTAATTAATTGCTGTTTATACATCAGTAAAACAAGACAAAACAGTCAATTTCTCATTGGCCCTCTTAGCAGCATGAAAACAAAAAATTGTTGTTCAAATCTTGAATAAATTATACACAGAAAGTGAGCATCGTGATAATATTAGAACGCCCCGATTACAACACAATCCTTCACTCAGTTAACACAGTTTCAATTGACTGTTTGAGTGCATATGTGCCATTACTGACAAAAATGAAACTTGGTTGGATTCCATTTAGCATTCTCTTTTATGCAATGCTGAAACATGCATTTATGGATAAAACTACACAATCATTATTATTGATTGTGGATAAATTAAATTAAATTAAATTAAATCTAAGTGGCCACTGCATTTACATGCTCAGCAAACATGCATGTGATTGGTTACAATGCTTACTGCTGCAAAAAACACAATATTTAAATTCTGACATAAAATAAAGTTTTAAATGGAATGATGAAATCTACACTTTTCACAATTAGTTAATCGTAGAAACCATATTCTTCAAATGCAGTTAATTATTCAAGTAAATTAAGTGATATTGTTCAACAATGTCATTATCACCTTTAGCATGATGTAAATGGACTACATTCTTGTCTGAGACCACAGGTTAAGCCCCACATCCAGACTAAGAGTCTATGCTTAGAGACCCAGACCAAGGCCTCAATTTAGTGTTCTTTTTTCTAAATAATTTTTTATGGTTTTTCTTATTGAGATACTACAGTAGAGAGATGACAGGAAAGCACTGGGAAGATAGAGGGGAGGGGGATTGGCAAAGGACCTTGAGATGGGAATCGAACTCGGGTCACCGTGAGCACAGTTGCACTATGTGTCGACGCACTAACCACGAGGCTATTGGCGCTGACCAATTTAGTGTTCTGAACAGATCTCAAAACCAAGATTGCAAGATTTAAGTCTCCATCTCTAACTGATCTCTATGACTGCCGCCTTCGAACACTATAATGCAAGCCATCAAATGCATACAGTCACACAATTTCACTTTTAATCATGCATAGACAAAGACTATATCCTGCAGCTCGGTGTTACTAATGTCTTGAGGTGTCTCTTCCCAAGCCACCAAGAACAAAAGATGGAGAACGAGAGAGAGAGCTCTGCTTCTTTCCTCTCTACTTCATCAATCTCTCTGAAAGCCTTGTGTAAGGCAGACAAAAGCCACTGTATCACTTACAAAGCCATAGTGGGCTTTAACAGAGGGAGAGAGCAGCTCGCTCTTTTAATGCAATGCTGTATTTGAGCAGAGGGGTCATACAGATCACTGTTGAATTCAGTCTGCTCTTGTTTCCTGCATCTGATCTGGGCTTCAGGTCCACGGGTGAGTCTGGTATCAGGTGTCCACTAATGGGGTGAGCATAAATATCTTACAAAAAACAGAGCAATTGTAAATATGGTGGTTGTGTTTCCAGTAGTAGCCTGACAGAAAATCACCACTGGATGAGAAAGCCGTCTGACAAGGAGTTTCTTATCAAGGTTATAACTTCAGGAGATGTTCAAGCGGTTCCATCGTTTGATTCAATGCTTGAATCTGCTTGAACTAATAAAATCTGCTATGTGCCTTAAAATGTGCTGATAACTACCATAATAACACAAAGAGTAAAATAATTTGTCATAAGTTGCCCATTCATAAACCATGACCAATATCATATATAGATAATGTACAGGGTCATACAAAACATCATAAGGGTAACACACATAAATAACGCAAAAATATGAACTAAATAACAGTATTTAAAGCGATAGTTTTCCCAAAAAATAAAATCCTTTTATTGTGTACTCATGCTGTTTCAAATTGTTATAGTTCCCTTCTTCCGTGGAACATAGAATGAATATATTATAAAGAATCAAAGAACTAAAACAACACTAAATCTCACTGACTTTCACTTTATAGAAAGAAAGAAAAAAGCAGAAAGAACATCTTTTAAACATTAATTTACTGTAGAATACATGCATTTTCTTGTTAAGTATTAAATAAATGTAAACAATAAATTATATGATAATTCAAACTACAGTATATATTTCTAAAATATTTGTATCCTGTTTTATTCATGTTATTGTATTTAAAAACTATCTGCCAATTCATTATTTCTCAGGCTGCTTCCCCATATTTGTTATCAGTATCTGTAAAACTCACTTTTGGTCAAGACTTCAACAGAAAATCCAGTTGCTTGTGTCCTGCTTTTTAAGGCAAAGCAATATTGCCGAACATACACGCCATTGACAAAGGATGAAGCTGTGTTTAAATTTTACATATACATCACGTCTGTTCTGTGTTGTAAAGAGGAAAATGATATATCCTTTCAGCTCACAAACTAAGTACCTCTTCAATCATGGTTAAGAGTTTAGATAAGAGATTCTCTGCTCTAGGATGTTTCACAGGTATCTGATTTCCAACCACTCAGGTGATTTATCATTAATGCCAATGGATGTGTAACCAAGGAGCTCTGATGGTGCTATATTTATGATCCAACAGATAGATGAACGCAAGCCAAAACCGTTCAGTCACAGCGTATGAATATGCATCAACGAGGGCAGGGTGAGTTATGACATCACAGGAGGCCAAACTTATGAGTGCAAAGTAATTAAGAAACTCATAAATATGTATGATATTACATTTAAGTCACTGTATATGATTTGTAAGCTGGCGAGTATCTTAAACACTAGTTATTAGAAGCCATTCGATAATACACAAATCAAACATACATGCTGCAAACTCAATAACTGTAAAAGCTTCATATGTTAAGCTTGTTTACCTTCAATAAATGTTTTTGATTATGTTTGTTATGGTAGTTTGGTCTGTGTGTATTGAAGGGCATGTGAAGGTAGTATTGCAAAAAGGCAGTATTGTGCTTCTCCAAGATCAAACCAAGATCAAGCACAAGGTGTTTTCAAAGTCCGAGAGACATTACCATCAAGACACTGACCACGTGACCCACACCTCATGACCCTTTACAATAATGGACTTCCCTAATTTCAGCAAGGACATCATTTTTCTCACTTCCTTTTGTGCACTTTAGAGGAATGGAATTTCATATTTTCGTTTGCAAGAATGACCAAAAATAACATTTACAGTAATGAATAGAATACACAGTTCACAAATGTCAGTGTCACAAATGTTATTTGATTATCAACAAAGAAGTACAGTAGTGTAGAATTCTTTATTATTTTCTTATTCATTTCATTCAAACTTCCAGGTTAATTTCTGGGTTAAAATGAAATTTAAAAAAAAATTATTACTTTTATGTATTTTATTATTAATAAAACAAGTTATTATGAAAATCTCAAATCTGATGACAGACAGACAGACGGATGGACGGACGGACAGACGGATAGATAGATAGATAGATAGATAGACAGACAGACAGACAGACAGACAGACAGACAGACAGACAGACAGATAGATAGATAGATAGATAGATAGATAGATAGATAGACGGACGGACAGATGGATGGAACCTGAATCATTCCTCTACTCCCTCTTTACTTCGTGTATTTATATTCAGACAAGGAAGCAGAACTGCACTGCTCCCGCTCCACTTTCTGCAGGCCATACAGCTATCAAAGCAGTCAGTTTGAAAGGTGAACATTTATAGAAGAGTATTAATTTAGATTAGACTTTAATCAATACATCAATCCAGCGAGTGCTCGCTCTAAACCAGTTGCGTGTTCTGACATATGCAGGGCCGCTGCGGTAATTCAAGCTGCTCAGAAGCGCCGCTCGGACATCCATCAGAGGCCCATACACTCATTATCCCCGCCAGGCGCAGATCATCAATAAATTAGCCATGCAACGAGCCCAATCAATTTCCCTGATGAAGTGTCACCTCTAGCCGCTGGGGAGAGTGATGGGGGGGAAAGCAGTGCCACCTGGCCCCTCCCCCGCCAGACCGCCACGGAGCCTGGAACCATCAACGCTAATAAAGTCTCTATCTGCCAGACGTGAGGCGCGCTTCATACATCAGCCGTAAGTTATGTGCATTCAGAACGGCTCCATTGATTAGGGCCGAGTTTGTTTGCCGTACGAAGGATAAGGGAGCATGCGATAACTCAGAGTGCCCGCGTAACTCGAGCGCCACACCTGCGAAGAGGTTTCAAATGGGTGGTCAGGGTCTGAATGCCAGGGGGTGATGAAGTAGCATGCGGGAAGCTGTAAAAGTGCAATGGTGGAGTGGTAAGAGGAGGATAATATTTCCCGTAAGTGAGGAGAAGGATTTCTGGTAAGGTCCCGATAGTATCGCTCCGGCCACGGGCTGGACGGCATTGGGTTACCAACACACTCACTCTCCACTGCCTCTCTCTCCACTCCTCACCCATCTCCATTGCCTGAGAGACCTCTCTCACTCATTGACAAATGCACTTCTGGGAAGACACAGATGATTAACCAAAGAACAGGAACTGCTCTCCTTCTTTGCTCCTAGATCTTATTATGAGAGAATCAAAGTGGGACATATATTGTAGCATGTGCACATGCATGTGATATCAACTTCATTTCTTAATTTTTCTTTTAAATCTGTTCTGACCATAAGTCCTCATTGTTTATTTCTTTTTTTTTTAAAGGATCAGTGGATGCAGCATTTGGCGCCAGGAACACAGACAGAGTGACCACAGTGACTTCTTTTTTAAATGGATCACATTGATTTCCTGTTCTGTGACTTTACAGGGGGCAAAGTTGAAAAAAACCACAACCTCTGTGCTGGATTGCAGCTGCTAAGCTCTTTAACAGTAGATGGCTAGTCCCATAGGTCCACACACACAAATTTTTGCTTTATACAAAAACCTGGCTCCACTTAATCTAAGTCTCGGTATGGACTGCATTGATTTCTGGATCTCAGAATGTCACTGTGAGCCAGTGAAGATAAGACAGCACTGCCTTTATACATACAGGTGAAATATCCAGGTTATGTTTCACTCTAGGTCACAATTAATTTAAATAAAATATTATGTCGCAATTACGTCACAATGCAACAAATCATAAATAGGCAACAGAAGCATCAAACCCATTCAAAATGAGGAGGCATTTTTAAACTAAATCAAAATATGTATTATTATTATTTAATTACTTATTAAAATAATTACTTTTATGTATTTTATTATTAATAAAACAAGTTATTATGAAAATCTCAAATCTGATGACAGACAGACAGACAGACAGACAGACAATAGATAGATAGACAGATAGATAGATAGATAGATAGATAGATAGATAGATAGATAGATAGATAGATAGATAGATAGACAGACAGACAGACAGACAGACAGACAGACCAGGACAGTTAGTGAAAAATATTGCATTTTCTTTCTGTAAAATATATACTTTTGTGATTTTGAGGCTAAATATGACCCAAAACCAAGAGATTCACTCACATGTATGCAAGCTGATGTGTAAGAGAGAGGTGATGGGACATATGTAGGCGAGTGGAGAAATGGGCGGTCTGTGATCTGGAGGAGGAGAGGAGAGCAGGTGAATGAAGCGCTCAGAGAACGTGCCAGTTCATGTGGAGAGAGACACTCACAGCCTGAGTGTTGGGCAGTAACGCGTTACTAGTAACGCGTTACTGTAACGCAGTTACTTTTGACAGTAACTAATACTGTAACGCATTACTTTTTAAATAAATTAACTCCGTTACCGTTACCATATGGTGCGTTGTCCGTTACTTTTTTTAATTAATTAATTTTGGCTGAAGTGTAGCCTACAGCCTAACCTGTTTACAGCAGCGACGCATTGTAGGATTGGTGGATGCCAACCACTGTAAACACGAAGACGCACTGTGGGCGTGTTTCCGTTTATTCAAGTATGTGCGGCAGTCATAGCGAGTCAAGGCGAGAGCAAGACAAGTTTCTCAAAGTGGAAATATGCTCATTATTTCACTTTAGTTGAGCATAAAGACAAAAACCTTTTAGTCAAATGTAAGCTGTGTCTTTCTGGTTCGAAGGTCCTATCTACTGCGATAAACAGCAACTCCAATCTGTCGAAGCACCTCCAGAAAGTACATGCCTCGACGAAGCTAGAAGCTAACCCGGTGTCGGTGGACACACTCGAAGTGAGTCAAGCCCCTCCAGCCAAACAACAGCGACTAGATTTTAACCGGACTGTTAGCCAGGGTCAGGGACAGATCAACAAAGCTATTGCACGGTATGTTGTTGAAAACATGCAGCCTGTCTCTACTGTGGAGTCGCCGGCTTTCAGGCAGCTCGGTAGCATGATAACATGTTCAGGCGGCACACAGCAAATGGGACGAAAAACTTTTTCCAACTACTTGGATAAAGAATATTCAAAAACAAATAATATTTGTTTGTTAAAAATAATGGTTAGTTTAGTAGCCACAGTGACATTTCTGTTATATCCTACAACACTAATTTTATGCATTATAAAATGCATTACGTTGTATTGCTAGGAAAAAGGCTGTTTTTTTTTGTTTGTTTGTTTGTTTTTACATTTTTATGGACATACAGTATACAACAGCAGATTTTGCACTTTGAATACACACAGCTTACTTTACATAAGTTGGTGAAATGCAACTCTTATTTTGTGGTTAGGTTGAATATTGCTCATAGATTTCTTTTTTTTTTAATGCATATAATTCATGGTTGTCATTAATAGCAGTTTTTTGGTGCCGAGTTTCTCGAAATTGATTCTGAATAATTCAGATTGCTTTCATTTATTTATTTCAAAATGTTTTGTGTTATGTTGTACATTGTTGATAGTTTTCATACTTAAGCTGTGAAAGGAACATTTTTAAGGGCTCAACACAACAGCTTTTATGATGCAGAAGCCACTTTAGTTTTTGATTCTGAATATATTATTCAGCTTGTTTTGTTATTTATTTCAGAAATCCTTGTGATATATTCAGTTTGTGCTGGTCTGACTTAAACAAAATAGTGTTTAAAAATTACTTTCTATTTAAGTCAGTTTTGTGTCTGTATAGACCATAACGCATAAAATGGCATTAATGGGAACATTAAAGAACGTTCTTTAAAAAAGCAACTAAAAATGCATTACTTTTTGGTGTAAGTAATCAACAAAGTAATTGAGTTACTTTTTGAATGAAGTAACTAGTAACTGTAACTAGTTACTATTTCTTAGTAACTAGCACAACACTGGATTTCAAGCTCCTATCAAAGGCTGCTGAAGTCAAGTGATGGCAGCAAACCAGACACATGAAACACGTCCACGCAAAAATCCACCGAAGTCACCACTGTGACGAGAGACCTTGCAGCTAAAGCTCTTCAAGACCTTGGAGTTACAAACACAGATCTCTCAATTTGAGGGTCACTGTTAATGGTCTACAATCCCACACAAAACCATTTGAGAGCTCTGAATGAAACGCACACACCGTACACAGCACATGTCTCTCAGACGCTCGTCCCTCTGTTACAGAGCATTCCACATGTTTTAATAGAGTAAAACTCAAAGGATGATAAATGAATACGAGAATGACTGAAAGAGGAAGCAATAACAGACATGCTGGAACAAGCATCCGCTCATAATCAAGACTCCCTTCCAACACACTGCAACGTCTCTCCACACATGACCTGTGGCTCCAAATAAACAGAGCACTGTCACTCCACACCTCTCCCATACTCTTTCCCATCATTCTTCCTGCTAAACATCACTCCCTCTGTCCAATTATTCTCCCTGCTCAATTCCTTCACAGTCTGATTCAGACATTTACACAAATATTGGCCGCTGAATGCATATTAATTATGAACCCCAATAAGAATACTTCACTGATAATGAAGGGGAAAAATTTGCTCCTTTTTGAAGTGAGGTTTTAAAGTGGATAGACGAGCGAGGGGTTGAATTTTAAAGCGGAGCAGTGGGGGGATAGAGATGTGGTTTGAAGTTCTTGTTCCAGATGCGAGCGTAAGCGAGGGAGTGATAGATGGTGAGAGGAAAGAGAAGAGAGTGAGCGGTGCACAGAGACTGGGAGAGACACTTTGGGGTCATCTGTACTTTAAATGTGTTAAAAGGAGTACCAGACGCCCTCAGATGAATCTCTCAGTCTGAACTCTTTACACAGGGAATTATAATACCTTCAAATGACTAAAAGCTTATCAGTCTCATTCTGATGGACAATAAATTGAACTTTTATCCCTATAATCTCCATATTAAAGATGTTTGGTGTGGTATAATACACTCTTGAATTCAATTAGGGAGTTTTTGTACAGATTGTTTCATGTCAAGTAAACAGTGACATACTAGGCCTGTGAGACAAGAGATGGGTCCCGCCCACAAATGTTGATGTCATGCACAGGCATTTGTATTGGTGCAATAATTCATGTTACAGCTGTCTAATGTGGATGTACGTGGATATAAATATGAATATAGCTGCAAGCAGCAATTAGGGGGCCAAGCACAACAGAGGTCAAATGAAGAGCTAAAGTGACATGTGGCCAAGTATGGTGACCCATACTTGGAATTAGTGCTCTGCATTTAACCCATCCAAAGTGCACACACACAGCAGTGAACACACACACACACCGTGAACACACCCCCGGAGCAGTGGGCAGCCATTTATGCTGCGGCGCCCTGATGTGTTGCTCTTTAAGCATGCTTCACTTTGTCAGACAGGTTCTATTTAAGTGATTTCTTGATTCAACAGGTCTGGCAGTAATCAGGCCTAGGCAAGGCAAGGCAAGGCAAGGCAAGTTTATTTGTATAGCACATTTCATACACAATGGTAATTCAAAGTGCTTTACATAAAATAAAATAAAAACAATAATCACAACAATAAAACAAGGAATTAAAAAACTTTGAAAATTATAAAAAAAAAAAAAAATTGATTTTAGGTTTAAAATGAATTTAAGAAAACGATTATACATATAATATAGTGCAATCAGTTCGGACTGATGAGATCTCAAAGACAAAGAGATGTCTTTAAAAACATTTTTTGATACAGCTCTTATTTTCTATAAGAAAATTAGGCATTGTTCGATTCGGCATGCTGTTCTGAATCTAGCGAGACCAATTTTTAATTTTTGGCCAAATTGGTCAGAAGTTCTAAGCAGAATTATGTCATTTTTATATCTTTTGACCAGTAGGTGGCACTGCGCCAAAACTACTCATGTGCCCTCAGGTCATGCTTGGTAAAACATGCATCAAGTTTGGTCAGCACTTTACGAGAACGGTTTGGTCTGTCGGAAATTTTTTTATTTCTTTTTTTTTTAACTTTTTGCTAGCATTGTCTGAAGATGATCTGAAGATGACAAACCGCAAAATTGCTAAAATTTGCTACTTTTGGTATGCATTCAACTCAGAATCAAAGGAAAACTAGGAAAAAAAGAGAGGAAAAGAATTGTGCTTCTAGATCTTACAGTTCAAAATTTATTAGCAGAAATAGGAGTGCAAATTTAGTCTATTGGTGGTGCTAGAGAGTTTGAGTTAAATATGCCAAATTTCATAATATTCCCCAAGTGGCTCTACGTGCTGCCATAGACTTCCAGAGCGAAGAAAGCAGAAGCAGAAGCAGAGGCAGAAGAAGAAGAGGAAAACGGATACAATAGGTGCTTAAGCACCTTTGGTGCTTGGAACCTAAATATATATTTAGGAATATATTTAGGTTTTTTTTAGGAACAAAAAAAAAATCACGAATGATGCCTCCAAAGAGCACCAGTTGGTACTTCAAGAAAAAATAATGAAATTAAAGCAATACAATAACGAAATAAATATTTTTTAAAAATTAAAACAATAAAAAGGTAGCATTCTAAAAGTTATAATATTATACAAGGATAATTCTTTTTTTTTCTTTGTAATTATAATACAAATTATAATAAAATATATTTTGTAAAAAGAAAAAAAGAAAAGAAATGATATTCTACCAAGTGAATTTAGAATAAATTTAAAATCATTGCAATGCACAGTATATGAAAGATCAATATTAAAATAAAGAGAAAAAAGTGAATTTAAGGTTAATTTAGAATTATTAAAATGTACAGCATGGAAAAATATTCCTTTTGAATTTGATTAGTTGGGTATTATGGAGTTTATTGCCCCTTTCAAAGTGTTTTTAGAAGTATCTGTACTTTTTCAGCATATTCTCAAAGGATGTTTATTACTTTTTAAATTCCCTTTTATATACAAAAAAATGCAATAACAAATATTGCATGTGTGCAGTTCTTGTCATTTAGAAAGCATAAATCCGGTGAGCTACAGCAGGTGTACCTCTGAAGATTTTAACCAAACAATGAGTGACATAAATGAGAGGGAACTCATTCTACTTCTCCAGAATGAAGCTTTAAGCTAAAAACTGTCCTTCACATCAAAGTAAAGCAGCTGGACTGGCAAAGGCTCCTGAGGTGTCTTTACACCACCTCTCCATCATGTAAGTCAGCATGTGTCTTGTTTTTGGTTCACTGTGCACATGAATCAATAATCAACATTCGAGCAGCTAATACTCTGTTTCCGTGATCGTGATTGAACGCCGTGAGGGGCCCCCCCGCAGTCGCGAGCAACTGAAAAAGCAACACAATAGTCTAAATGACTGGTTTGGGAACTTCCTCTGTTGTGTGTGCAGCTCACACCCCCGCCGCTCGGCTTTGGCACGGCTTCAAGAGACACCGCAAACACATGTGGCAATCAATTCCCACCGCTTTCCACAATCTAATCAGATTTCTTTCCGAGGCATCCATTAATCTCTAAACTGCAGATAGATCAACTGAAATATGATCGCTTCAGCAAACTCTAAAACTGCCTTACGGTAAAGGTTAGATATACGGAGCAGCTTGTGCCTCATTTTGTCTCAGGACACTGTGCTGAGATCTATGGATCAGTGTTGCTATATCAGCTCTGATTCACCGCTCGCTCACCCAGCGCAGCGGGAGTCTGACCATCAGCCAGGCCAGACGTTAGTTCTGCTCTGTGGAGCAGCACTGGGTAATGATGTCCAGACAGGTGAGATCCGTATCAGTAAACTCGTCTTTGACAGACCTAAATGTGAAGCACACAGACTCGGCTGCAGGTGTGGCAGTAGATCAAGAGGCTCACTTTTTTCTACTTCAATTAACTTTACAGGAGCTCAGTGGCGGAGCTGGGATCAAACCGTGTCTTTTTTTGGCTAGATAGCGGCGCTGGAAAAGGCTGCGGGCTGTGATTATCAGGATCTGATATAAGATCTCACAAGGAGTTATAACTCACTGTTAAAGAGCGAGATTGCTAGCAGTGAGGCGTTTTAGCGTAGATGGGGGAACAATGTTAGACCTCCTTGGCCTCAATCTTCACATCATCAGCATATTCTTCTGTATTTGTATCCTTGTAATCAGCATGTCTAATCCTACAGATTCAGTCAGCTGTTCGCAATGTGTCGTTTATCTTTTCTAAAGGTCATTCCTCCACAAACCCTTTAGCCAAACCATGTGGTACATTTTCAAGGTTTATGCTGATGGGCCTGTGGAAGCAAAGCACAATTTTCACCTCATGCGACAAATAAATGATATGTTCTCCCTGTGAGTCTCGGCTATTTACAGAAGATGCTGCGGAAGAGTTTACACTTATTTCCCCTTCATCCTGTCTGACACTGAGGGGAGAATCTCATTTCTGTAACTCCCAAAAACTGTCAAAGGTTACCTGCTCGGTGGGAATGGATATCCCTGTTTAGGAAAACAAAAAGTCTGCAGGGCTGTGAATTGCAAATCTGGTTAAGAATGATGTAGACGGGTTAGATAATGGCTGATAATGACGAGATGTGACTCATTTCTGTCATTATGTGGTCCCTAACATTTTTATTCAGCACGGATGCATTAAATTGAAATTTAGAACTTTCTGTTCATCAAAGAACCCTGAAAAAATGTATCACGATTTCCACAAAAAATGAAGCAGCAACAGCTGTTTTCAACACTGATGATAAGAAATGTTCCTTAAGCACCAAAT